TATGTTACATAGTACAGGTAAAGAAGTAAGAAAATACATTTTGCTGATGTAACATGAATCACAAAATCGTACGTTTGATTAATAAGTAAGCAATCTTGAGGATTTCGGGCTGTAAGTTGAAATTTAAACATTTGCATGACTCGAAATCACAGTAGATATCATTTGAATCACAACTGATATTTTGAATGAGTTGATATTTCCTTAGTGTGAAAGAATATTTGAGTCAGTGATATTTTAATACCACTAATAATGTCAACTTAATGATGAGTATTATTAGAGAAATTATCAGCGATATTATAGAAATCGATATTATTAGTTGTTAATTATAGTAATATCACTTACTCTGATAGCCTGTACAGTAGTAAGATAATTTGAATGATTATTAATTCATTTAGAAATCACAATTCATGTTATTTGAATGGATTCTTCTTTCGTATTTGAATAACAGAAAAATTCTTTTGATAAACTAGGTCAGCTTTATCATAAAAAAAAAAGAAAAAAAGATTTCCAACTTTTATTCTCCCACCTTCAGCTTTACACAGAGCCATGAATTTTTCTTCTCCGTTCGTTTACTCAAGAGGTGTTATTGAACGTTTCCTAAAAATAGTCGGAGGTCGATGAAAACTAAGACGAACTCCAACAGTGCCAATTACTAGCGAAAATCGAGAAGGAACACGTTTTCTAAATGGTTCAAACGAAAATCTCATTTTCTTGACGCCAGGAATGAGGACTTTTGTTTTGGTATAGTAAAGATGAAATGATGCAATTTGTTGGAAAAATGTTTATGCGCTTTCCGATACCAGGAGCCGTTACAAGAAAAAAATAATCCCAAATTCTTCCCTTCGGAGTGCTAAAGCAAGTTTTATTTATGTTAAAGTTTCCCATTTTGCCTACATTTACCGAAGTTGGAAACTTGATATGATAATGGTAGCGGTAATTTATGACGCAAGTGTGGCAATGTGATTTTCGATATCACGATTTCTCACATGGCCCAAACTCATAAAAAGGCTTTGGAATTGCTTTATATGCATAATTTTAAGGTATATACTAAAGTAATAGTGAAATAAAAAAAGTAGTGTTTCGATTTCTGCTTTAGAATATGAAATGAAATTTTTAACTTAAATATATTTTGATGAAAATTTGGAGCAACCTCTGTATGCTGATAGCCGCTAGGTGAAAGTAAAAATAAACTAGTGTTTCAAATAATTTTGCTTATATATCATGTTACTTAAGTCGTAAAATACGCTTCATAAGAAGTACTTTACAGTAAAACACAGCAAAGATTTTTCTCCTTATGATAGTGCTGAGAGTAATAGTCTCTTCTTAATGGTCTTCAGGGACTAAATAAAGGTATTTCTAAGGGTGACATTGGCAAAGGAATAGTTTACGGCTGTAAGAAACGCTTGAAGTATTTCATAATGTTACTGTCAAGGAAATGTTTCTTTTCACTTTTATTTGCATTTTGCTTCGTATTGGTTTTTATCTACTTTATGCTAATGCGTATTTGTTATATTGGGTATTGGTTTGTGTTCGGTTGCATGTAAAATCATGGCCTGGCGAAACAAAATCCATAGACAAAATCGTGCCTAAGAAATTTATACCCCCCAAAAAATATTGTTATTGCAGGAAACAGGCTTACTATAGTTTATCTTCTATTAGGCCGAGCTTATACTCTGTTCTTTAAGTGCAGAATTCAGTCAGCAAAACCACACAGCAAAATCCTTAAGTCTTTTAAACTTAATCAGTTTCTTATTCATTAGCAAGAGAGATTTAAAAGGCAGTTTCATAATAATTTAAAACTTTTCTTTACATTTTTAATTGTATACCTAATTGATATTAATTAAAATATAATACAACAAACTGTTATCTTCATGATATTTGTTTATAAACTTTAATACAGCAAGCTAACGTTAAGCAAGAATATATATCTTTAAGTATAAACTCTTAAAGTAATAAAAGTAGTAAAAGATGTTTCATAACTAGAACGGAGTCATTTATGTCTAGACATTTTTAATGCTAAATTTTTTCGAGCTATAAATTATAATCTGAAGTTTCCCACAGCCTTTTCCCCCTTAATTTTATCAAAAAGATAATACTCGATTTTATGACGGGATAATGATCAGCATCATTTAAAAGGAAATGAAATATGTGTAATTTTTCTCTCTGCATTTTATCGAAGTTCCGCATCTGGAAGGATTTTTATGATTTTGATTCGATTAGCATACAGTATAATTACTGACGCATGCAAGCAATATTACCAATAAATACTCTTTAGCATTAAAAAATCCGACTCTTTTTCATGCGTTTATTCCAATAGATACTTTGCGTTATCATTCTAAAACTTCTGGGTCCTTTTTTAAAATCGTTGTATGATTGTCGATTTAAAAAAAAATTAATTGCCATGTACTATACTATTGAATATTGAATAGGTCTAGGCCAGGGGTTCTCAACCTTTTTTACCCCATAGATTACTTCACCGCTGCTAGAAGATCATTCCCCACCTCCTTCTTTTTCAAACTCGTCAAATGCATATGCTTTATTTAAATTCATTTTTAATGTGTTTTATAAATTAAACCAGAAAAAGGCCTAGAAAATATTGATAAATACCAAAACTTGAATAAAATTAGTTTTTTTATATTTATAATCTGCAACTAAACAGAAGATTTACTGCATTCTACCCCTTCCCCGGAATTCCCCTGGTTGAGAACCCCTGCTCTAGGTTTTTTTTTCCTGGCAATTCAGCACATTTTCTGCTTTTGTAATTTTATTGTTACCTTCATATTGTTGAGACAAAACTTCCTCTTCCCATTAGATCCAGATCAGGTGTACGAATTTATCATGACTAAAGTAGAAAGCCTTGTAGGCCTGGCCATTAAAATATATATTATCGTTGACTACATCGTAGTACAGTGACATACGTGTTTCCCTACCGCCATCCCAATTTTGAGAGAGAATATCTCAAGGTGGGTCTCCTACTTTTCTTTCTCTTCCATCAACCTCTCGAGAGGACTTTACACTGGATGGGCCTAACGATATGAAAGACAGCATCATTAACTATTCGACAAATGGAGAGCCACTAATTCGTAATATGCTATCTTTATGTGTAACATGAATCCGAGCCACTTTCTTTCATAAAGCAATCTCCGAAAGTATCTCAGTGAAAAGAGATAACTTTCTAGTATTTATAATAACAAAATAACATACTGTTTTGTACTGCTTTATTTCTTTATTGTTTCTGGGTAGTGGAAGTATAACATGAATCCAATCCACTTTCTTTCAGAAAGTTATCTCCGAAAGCATACTGTTGATAAGATATAGCTGTCGAGTATTTGTAATAACAAAACGACGTACGTTTTTCATAGTGTTCTATCTCTTTATTGTTTTTGAGTTGTGAACAAACCTGTCTGATGAGCACATCTCATATTATATGTATTTCTTTCTGTTTAATTTTTTAGAAAACATTGTTTCTTCTTAATTATAGTTTCGACTTCTTTTTCACTCATCAAAAAGGATGAAAATTTGGCAGTAACATACGACAATAAAAGTTTTTTTTAATAATTCAAAATGATTAATTTTGCTTAATCTCTCGGACGAAGCTTTTAACTCATCTCAAGACAATGTTAAAAACACTATCATGTCTTTTTTTAGGAAATTTTTCTGGTGTCTTAACTGTTTCTGCTTTAACTACACACAATGTTAATTGGCAGCAACGTACGAGAGCAGTGAAAAAGCACAAACGTGGACCCACTAATTAAAAAGCTTCCCTTTTCTCTCACGTTGAATTAATCACATGTTAAATCACTAGTTTTTTCCCAGAATTATACCTGTTTGTTTAAGATTGGGTCAACATCATGTCAAGTTTCCGTTTTTCCAATTTTTTCTGCCAACAAAGGACTGGGTGACGCGTGCTTGTTGCTCGTCATTCTTCAAAGTCACTTTTTCTTTATTTTTTCAGGTTTTAATGAAGTACCTAATAGCTCACCATACTTACAGCCCAAGGGGAAATTAGCGACGAATTTTGATACTTAGTCTTGGTTTTACTTTTGCTTGACATTTTTTTAATCGTAATTTTTGAGAGGGAAAGAGATGACAGAAATAATGAATAGAATAGCGAAATTCCTCAGGGACTTTACTTACGCTCCGAATGTAATCGTCAGGGATGAAGTGCTATTAAAAGAACACTTACATCCAGTTTTGGTTAGAAATACTGTGAAAGTCACTTTGAAATGTTTTAACAATTATTATTTTTTTTTAAAGTTTTCTGACGGCAACAATGATTTTTCTTTGCTTGGATTAATTGCTTAGACAGCCAGATTATACGAAACAAAAAATGTGTTTCTATTCAATGTAACTAGCGATGTATTTCATCCTCCTTTTTCCCCCTCCCAGAAGACTGTTTTTTGTGAAGACAATCGAACTTTCACGTGAAGCCGTGAAAAGCAGAAATAGCACATATGCACAAAAAAGTCAAGAATGATTCACATCGGTGTCTATATCAAGCGTATAAAGAGAAAGAGAACAATCGAAACACTTACCAATCTGTTTATTGATATCAGTTTGGTCCACTGTAAGCGTTCGGAACAAGAGCATTCAAAATGAAATAAATGAAAACTACTTAAGTGCAATGTGCTTAACTTTCAGTTCTCATCATAATTTCTTAAAACATTAGTTTTCACGTTACAATGTTTTTAAGAGAATGCTTCTAAAATTATCGGAGACCATAAATTTGGCATCTACAATATTTGAGAAGTGTCATTTTACAGAACTCTTCTTCGCATCATTCTAGTGATCGTTTCATAAATTATTGACGACCTAAATCAATGGTTACTGTTCTTCTTTCCTGTGCCTTAATAACCTTAACCCTCCCAAAAGGTAACTGTCAACTCATAGCTCTTTTGGCTCACCGACGACTGTCAGCTAAACTTATTGCGTCAATTCAATAGACAATATTAATCAATGCGTAAAGCATTCCAACAGTAGGTAAGCAAAATAGGACTTACCTGAATCACAGGGTTCTTCATTCTAAAAAATACGCACAGGTTCAGCTTTTTAAAACTTTAATCTGTACATAAGTTATAAAAGATAGGTTATCACAAGATATCCAAAACTACGCATGCATTTCCTAAGACATTCATAAACAAACTAAACTAAAAATAGGACACTGATTACATCATAAATCGTTGAGCGCGCCATAAAAAACTTACGTAATCAGTTCCAATCGTTATGCGCGCGCATAGGCGGAAGTATCACATATCCAATATCCTCCCGCCTTTGAGATTCGAACCAGGGAATCCCAAACTCTATTTCTAGGTTTAATTAATCGTCCATATCTGGATCTTTTTTCAGGAGCAGTCTCTGGGAAAAAATCATTAACAGTTCGTTGCTTAAAAGGAGTTATCTTTTGAGCTAATACTGGGTTGTCAGAAGCGATCTCTGAAAGACGATTTTCAACAGTCTTCCGATCATTGGGAATAGAATCCTGTTCTGCTACAGGTATAAAGGGGTCACTTTTATCAGTCACTTCAAGAGGTATTAACCTAAGCACTGGACGGAGAAATTCTCTGTTTTTCAGTTTTATTTTTACTATGCGAACTTGTCCATCTTTAGAACGATAGAGTTCGACCACTCTAGCCAGAGCCCATTCAATTTTCTTGACGTTATCACTAGAAACCAGAACAATATCACCAATTTGGATGCGTTTCTGATTTTCATGAGATTTCGATGATTGGCGTAAATTTCCTAAATATTCAGTACGAAACCGTTTTCTTAAATCTTGTTTCACACGTTGACGGTAAACATGTCTTTTATTTAACGACGACGAATCCAGAACATCAAGATCTGGGATTCCTGTTTCTTTAAGATCATGCAAAAACATAGAAGCGGTAAGCTGAGTTAAATCATCAACGTCTTCCGAAATATAGGTTAAAAGTTTCTGATTAATCACACCTTCAATATCCCAAATAACGGTGTTCATTTCTTCTAAATTAAGTGAGCTTCTACCTAGAACCTTTTGTAGAATTCCTTTGATAATACTATCAGACGTTTCCCCACCCACCCCACCATGGGGCAGACGGGGGATTAAATTTCCAAATGATCTCTTGAGATCTGCTGTATTGGGAAATGAAGTCCCAATCAATTTCCTTCAGCAAATTCTCACATCCTGAAAAATTAGAACCATTATCACAGAATACATGCAATGTTAGACTTTTTGGTACTTCACAATTGGGAACAAGACATCGAGGAATTTCTATTTCTTTCAGCTTAGAAAGTTCCCGTCTCCACTTCTCAAAATTTCTTTGCAATGGTGGTAGGAAGTTCAGTACATGATACTTCCAATTTCCAGCACTCTCGTAGGATGACTTTTGGTCTCAAAGTAACAGGACAGATGAAGTCAAGGGGAACAGTTGTATCGTCTTCAACATTTTCTCGTAAATCTATCGTCAAAGCGTCATTCTTCAAGTTCGACTTAAGCCCTTGAACTGGAATATTCTTTTCATTTTTTGGCAAAGGGTCTTCAGATTTTTGATTATTATAACTGTGCTCCCACCATCGTAGTTTGAGTTTGGCAGTGCTAAGAACCAGTTTGGATTCCTCAATAAATTTCTCAAGTTATTCGCGATTTACCACACTGGTAAGACAGTTATAAACGTAAAAAGATTCCAACAGCTTGTTGGCCGTTTTTTCAAAACGGTGAGAAGCATTCTGTAAATGAAATCGGAATGGGTGCTCTCCGAAAGATACGGGGAACAACGAAAGTCCGAACACAAACCTGTCTATGCTGGAAAACTGTTAGGTTCGGCAGGATCACAACCCTCCCACCATAAAAACTTTAGATATGGTCGATCACTCTCACTCAGTTCAATTTGTAGGAAGTCTCTACGAATGTCCGCAACAACGTCTATTTTCTTTAATCTACATCGATTTATGATCGCAGGAATGAGCTCGACGGTGTTGGGGTCATTTTCCAGGCAGTCGTTGATAGAAGGTGAGTTCTTTTCTCTGGCCGATCCATCAAAACATTGCCAACTGCAGTAGGCTCCCCTAACCACTATACCGTCTGGGAGGCAGATCTGAGCATATATACACAAACCAATAAATAATGTGAAATCAAAATAACTGGTGCTAGACCAAATCGATAAAACAAAATTTTCCGCTCACACCTGAATCACTTACCACGTTCGTTTCCAAATGTTAATCAATGAACAGGAAAATCGATCATAAATCAAAACGTATGCAAGCAAACTCGATGAAACATGGTGATATTATTTATTATAGCATTCGTAACTTAAAACACAAGAAAATGTTTTAGAGAATATTTACATTTTGTCATAGCAAGAGGAATATAAAATCTACTACATTCGGACATACAAATTAAACGCAAAATTATTTTCAGTAGGGAGGATGATCATCTCGAACAATAACACGGGCCTGAGAGCAATGGCTGATGCTATTTATGAAGTCGTCAATGAGCTGCATGCGTAGCAATGCCGGCTGAACACGTAAAGTAATTCTAAGCCCGTCCAGGGCCTGGGAAATGGACTAGAGGTCTGCGACACGCATGAGAGCGTCCCCATATGCCAAATGGGATTAGTGTGCTGGCCATTACATTTGTACTGTAGGTTCTTCGTCAATAAATTGATGCACGAGGCTGAAAGTGAGAGAGCGAGCATTATCTACTTGAAAAATAAAGGTATCGCTGAATGCTTCCGCATAAGCATGAACAATATGATCCAATCCAATATATCCGTAAACGTCTGAGCACTGACAATTCCCATGTAGCAAAGCATACAGGTCTGTGCACTCACCTGAAAATACTACAACACTATCCCCTGCATCATTCCCTTTCACGCATTTAGACGGAAGATATCGAGTGTTGTTTGTTTCTCTTCATATGTAAACATGTCGAGAAACATTCTGTAAAACAAAGCGGGATTCAGCAGTGAGCGGAACAGACCTCCATTGATTTTCAATCCAATTTACAAGACTAAGTGCCCAATTCAAACGCTCCCTCCGGTGGTGGTGGGATAAAGGATACGCATAGTGCTTAGCATAGAGAAATCTTTCATACAGCTTTCTGCGTACTGTCGTGGCTGATACTGTCCTTCCTGTAACAGAAAGAAGCGTGGAAGCTAATCTGAGATAAAGGAGCAGTCCTCTTGCGACATGCAGTTAGTCGCAAATAAAGGTCATCTTCGGAAGTGTTAAGTCTGGTCCTGCTTTGGTCTTCGACAATCTGAATCATTTTACAACCGGCTTACATGCAACTGCCGACATTCAGCCGTGTCGCAACTCCAAAAGACTGTCGTTAACCTGCTTCTAATGGCTCTATAACGCAATTCTACTGGCAAATCGTCTCAAAATCATTTTACAGTTTGACTATCTCAAAATTGTTTATTATATCGTCGTTCAGTGAACAGCGATTCCCTCCCAAACAACTGGCTTTAAGCTGTAACATATTTGCGTAAAGCAATTGCAACGCCACTCTTCTGAATAATGTTACTCGTTGCAGTTTGCTTTTACTTGAAACATATCCAAATCTCAAGAATTTCGAACTCATTTTAGCTGATTTACTGAAATTTTCAGTTTGTTGCCTAACTTTTGCAAACCAGTGTATAACCTCTTCTTATTAATTTTTATTACAGTTTCTCGTGAATGAGCAAGAGAATTTTTATAAAATTCTGATATTATATTTTATTTGAAATCAAACACATTAGTGAATATGGTAACTGCATACTATTAATGATGATAACAAGATAGTAATTTCACATCAGTGACTCAAAACTCATGTAAACTGGTTATTAGTGAAATAACTTACACTCTAAGTTAAGCCAATATTATAAGGAGAGGGAGAAATTTGGAATGGTCGAATATTCGACTTTCTGGGAAGAACTTAACATTAATTTCTGGTAGTGTAGATTGGTGTAATTATGGCAAAGCACACTAGGGCTATCTGCCTAAGAGGAGGGATGCCTTCGTGGAGGACTTCCTAAGGGAAACTGGCTCGTATACACGTTACACATGAGGAAAACCACGAAAACGCCCACGCAGCCAGCCCGTTGGCGGGATTGGAACCTCGGACCGAACTACCAGTGTTCAGCGACTCGGCCGCTGGTGGGCCCATTAATTTCTGGAATTCTATGTTTTGACATTCGTTTGCTGAAAATTTCGACTGATCATTGCGAAACCTTTGAGTGGTTTAAAGCTGAAGGAAAAAAAGCAATCCCTATTTTACCTTAGTCACTCTCCAAAAGAGAATATTAACAAAAAAATAACAGAAAGAAAATAAAAGGAAATCTGCCATCTTTCTAAAAAGTCCAAGCAACTTCTAGAGTTGCCGAACACTCGAATGAAAGGAGTGGTATTTTTGGCTGTTTCTTTAGCATTTAACGAAAAAAATCTCCAAAGAACACTTAGGATGAAATATTTGGAGATTTAAGATGAAATATTCAAATGCATTGTGAAAACTGCGATTCGTATTTTGAACACTGAATCGTGAGAAATGTTATGAAATGTAATAAACACGTTTTATAATAAAATAATTAATTTTCACATTGATATTCGCACTGCTTTGGCCTAAACAATGAAATACACCTTTTGTAGAACTCTTTACCATTTTTTCTATTCAATTAAAAAATCTTTCTATCGCAAACATTATTGTAATTCACTTCTGAAAATGAGCGTTGTTCTCATTTAACGAACCATTTTTTCACTGAGAAAATACGCTTCTTAAAGGAAAGCACGCAATTTAAGCAATTTCGTTTCAATTCTAACCTTTTTGAAAATTTCCGTCGGAGGACAGTATAAATAATAGCAACTGAATCCAGCAAAAATTGTTTGTTTGAGTAAAATACGAAATTCCTTTCCTCTCGGGACTGTTTATTTAATTTCTGGAAAGATAAGGAGAGAAAGGAAAGTAAGGTATGAAAATATTTGCAATTTATTCCAAAAGATTAATAGACCTCAAACAAATATGATAATTTAAGTCTTTGTTCTGATCATGTAAAAATGTTCTCGTTTTGGAAGATAAGGCGCTGTTTAAATATATATGTGAAATATAAATGTTTTCTGTCTTTTCGAAAATACGTCACGCATTTAAATGTAATTTGATTTGTGCTATCTAAAGCCCAAAATTCTAATTTAATTACCCCTTGAATTTGAAATATAAGTATAAATCATTCGTAAGTGAAATATTTCATTAATATTTTTCTAAAATTAGCATGTATTATATAATATGCGAGTGAAGTTTTAGAACAAATAATTTCATGTGTATGGAAGCCTATTTTGCCGTAAACCTGTGGTGAATTAGTCATTTTAACATTGCTTATATGTTTATTAAAATAATTTTAATAAAACGTCTACCTTCTGTAGGAAAGTTTATCATACGTAAGTGCAAACATAAATCAACATATAAAACACAAAGTTTATTGATGATTTTGTTCTATTCACTCGAATAAAAATATATGTTATCAATAGTACTTTTATATTATTACATCAACATTCTCTCGTAATCCTTAATTAAACTGTACAAAATTGATTATTTTTAATCTTTAGAAGTATAATTCTTTATCCAGGTTTTTGTTGATGAGCGTGTTCAATAAAGTTAAAATATTTGTTATTACGCATCTTTCACAATCTATTTTTTCAATATTAATGTATTAAGACAAGCAATATAGCAATATATAATAAATATAATTCGAAATAGGAATAAAATCCAAAGTTCTTTGAAATGCTCATGAGACTTAAAGCATGAGCTCTTTATGTATGCGCACTTAAATTTACTTTAAAAAAGTTTAAATTTCTTAAAAAAACCTTGTTATTTTCTATTTTGAAACCAGATATAATTATTACCAAAATTTCACTTTTTTGGCCGTAGTTACTGTTCTCACTATTCAATAGGTTCCGAAGCAACCCGAAGTGAAATCTATTTCATTACAGATTATAATGGTGACTCCATCTTTACCTTAAGGTTGCCATACATCTCGTATATATGAGACTGTCGCCGTATTTCACCGCTTAGTCCCGTACTACTATTTGTCCCATTTTCTTTCTGGTGTATTGATCAGAAATGAAGGCCAATAAAGCTAAATAATTTGCCATTCCAGCTCACAGTGCAAATAAGGAGAGAATACTTTCCCTAATGTCAGTTCAATGATCAGACAGAAGAAACAGATTGTCAGTATAGACAAGTGAAGCACTTTTGATTTGTCATTGTAATTTTATAATTACTTGCGTGCAATGTTATAACTATACGAAGGAAGAAAATGATGTAATTAAGAAGGTAAAGTCAACTTTAAAGTATTATTGACTAAGAAAGATTAGCATTGCATCTTTTATTATATATTTTCATATTATTAGATCGCACAAACTGATTGATTTTTTTATTAGCGTAAAATAAACAATTGAATACACACTTTTTTCAAGTTTTGTTTATTTAGCACTTAAATGTCTCGTATCAATGCTTGCCAATTATGGCAACCCTAATATATCTGTTAAAATTGGCTTGGTTTGGTTTATTCTGATTATGGAAAAGCACTCGAGGACTGTCAGCCTAAGGCCTCATTGAGGTCTTAGGCTGGAACCAAAGGAAAATGGCTCATATACATATTATACACGGGGAAAAACCACAAAAACATCTATGCGGCCAACCATTTCGTCGGGATTCCAACCTCGGACAGACCTGTGTTCACGGCACTTAATTCTCATAAAGGTCCTGCGTTTGGGGGCAGGTAGGCCTTAATGAAAACTGGAGTGCCTTGATTTCCGTTGGCCTCATGATCTAAGTTCAAGCGCGAAACATACCAAGTCTTTTTGGGAAAAACTTATCGCAATAATCCTGTTACCTTCTATTTATTACACAATTATCTCAATTCGGTGCCTTTTGGTGACGGGTGACAGTTGTAATCGTGCAACAAAGCCCATTGTAGTAATTTTTTTTTATATCACGAATATGATGTTACGACTAAGCGAAAGGAATTAAAATGGATT